TTGAGCTTAAAAAAAGTTTGTGTCGAACTCAAACTCGAACTCGAACCAATTTTAACGAGTCGAGTCAAACTGAGGTGAGTTCGACTCGACTCGACTCATTTCCAGCCCTAATATAACTATATATAAGGATCTATTAATTTTGTTTTTGACCGGTCAAAAGTCTTGTATGAAGATCTAATTACACATAGATAAATTATAATTATCCAACATATATAATTGATATGAGATTCAAAATACACTTTTTTAATCTTTACTTTTTACTATAGTTACTTTAAACTTTAAAAATTATTTGGCATTTAGAGTGTACATTTTGTTAAATATAATTCGTTGTGTAAACAGATTTAATTTGATATGATTAGATATCATATGATTAGATTAGATTTGATATCATATGATTAATTTGATATGATATGATTAGATATCATATGATTAGATTTGATATCATATGATTAGATTTGATTTAGAATATTTTGGGCCTTTTATGTTTTGGGCTAGTGTAAACCTAAAACTATAAATAGGGTGCCTTGCTTTGTATTCTACATCACAACAGAACAGATTTCACAGTTGCAGTTAGCAAGTGAAAGTTCAATAAGAAATCCCACAGTTGTGGGTAACACATTCTCTCCAAATACTTCTTCTCTCATTCTTCTCTTTCTTGTTTGTTATTCTTCTTCTCTTTTGTTGTTCTTGATAATTACTTGTTATTACCATCATTATCATATTGTGGGTTTGTTCATCAATCTTGAGATCAAGATTGAAGGGAATTCTTCATAGGGTGTGAGGTGAATTTCCAACATCTGGTATCTAGAGCTCTGGTTGAGAGATTCAAGGAAGGAAGATAGTGATGGCGATGAACTATCCGAACGGCAACTTTCCGGCGACCCTGTCAATTCTCAAGAAAGACAATTATGAGAATTGGTGCAAGCAGGTTAAAGTGATTTTCTGTTATCAAGATCTTTGGGATCTTGTGAAGGACGGAGTGACACCGCTTGTGGAGAATGCAACGGAGGCGGAAAAGGCTGCGCACAAAGAATTGAAGAAGAAGGATTATAAAGCACTCTTTATAATTCATCAGTGTGTTGATCCTGATAACTTTGAAAAGGTTAGTGATGTTGATTCAGTAAAAGAAGCATGGGAGATTCTTGAAAAGTCGTTTGGAGGCGCAGAGAAGGTGAAAGAGGTGAGGTTACAAACTCATAAGAGAACCTATGAGTTGCTTCAGATGGAAGATAACGAAAGCATTACAGATTTCTTCACCAGAGTTACAAAGTTGGTGAATTAAATCAAAGTATGTGGAGAAGCGCTGACGACGAAAGCAGTTGTCTCAAAGATTTTGAGATCGTTGGCTCCAAAGTTCGACCACGTGGTAGTTGCCATAGAAGAGTCGAAAGATCTGTCAGTGTTGACGAAGGAAGAGCTTCAAGGGACTCTTGAGTCTCATGAACAGAGGATGTCTAAGAGAGCTGCAGGAAAGTCGAAAGATATAGCTTTGCAGGCACAGACGGAAAAGGAGAGAAAAGGCAAAGGTAGCTGGAATGGCAACAAAGGAGGAAACCAGTCGAATCAAAAGAAACCTTGGAACCAAGGCAACCAAAGAGGTGGTGCTGCAGGAAGAGGTGGTGGTCGAAAGACAGACAAAAGCCACATTCAATGTTTCAATTTCCAGAAGTATGGTCATTATGCTAGTGATTGTCCAGAAAGGAAGAGAAATCAAGAGACTGATGCAAAGCTGGCGAAACATGAAGAAGAAGAAACGTTGCTAATGGTTACAACAAAAGATGAAGAAAGATTCCAAGATCAGTGGTACTTGGACTCAGGATGCTCATCACACATGACTGGAAGGAAAAATTGGTTTGTCAACATGAAGACCTCGTCGAAGAACACAGTGAAGTTTGCAAATGACAACACTCTAGTAGCTGAAGGTGTTGGTGATGTTCTGATTATGAGGAAAGATGGCAAAAGGTTAACAATTTCCAATGTGTTGTACATACCAGGCATGAAGAGTAACTTGCTCAGTATAGGGCAGCTTGTCGAAAAGAACTACAAGGTAGTTGTCGAAGACAAGATGATGAGAGTTCTCGACACAGGTGGTAGATTAATCTTGAAGGCTCAAATGTCTCAGAATAGGACCTTCAAGATTGGACTCAATGTGATGGAGCACAAATGTCTAGCAACTGCAGCCAGTAAAGATGAGTGGTTATGGCATTTTCGACTAGGTCATCTCAACTTTAATGACATCAGAGAACTGAAGAAAAGAAATATGGTTTCAGGATTACCAGAAATCGACATTCCAAGTGAAGTCTGTGAGGAGTGTGTTCAGTCGAAACAACACAAGAATAGCTTCAACAAGGATGCAGGAAGGAAGTCGAAGGTAATACTTGAAGTCATATACTCTGATGTATGTGGTCCAATCCAGGTGGATTCGATTGGTGGCAATAGATACTTTGTCACGTTTATAGATGATTACAATTGAAAGCTGTGGACTTACCTCATCAAGAAGAAAAGTGATGTGATTGAGGTATTTTCCAGATTCAAGTCCATGGTCGAAAGACAGAGTGGTCGAAAGCTGAAAATTCTGAGGACTGATGGTGGTGGAGAGTATGTGTCGAAAGAGTTCGATACACTATGTGTAAAAGAAGGGATTGTACATGAGGTGGTGCCACCCTACACTCCACAGCAAAATGGGATTGCAGAACTCAAGAACAGAACCATCATGAATATGGTGAGAAGTATGTTGAATGGAAAGCATCTACCCAAAGAATTATGGGGAGAAACAGTTTCGACATCAACATATATATTGAACAAATGTCCGACGAAGAAGCTTGAAGGAATCACACCAGAAGAATGTTGGTCTGGTGTCAAGCCTAGTCTCAGTCACTTAAAGGTGTTTGGATCTATAGCACATAGACATGTGCCAGATCAGTTGAGAAGGAAGCTTGATGATAAGTCGAATCAGATGATCTTGATAGGATATCATTCGACAGGAGGTTACAAGCTGTTCGACCCAGTGAATAAGCAAGTAGTGATCAGCAGGGACGTGATCATAGATGAGCTTAAAGAATGGGATTGGACCGAGAATGCCAAGAAGGATTCAGTGAGAATATCTTGTGAAGAACCAGCCACTAAAGTCGAAATAGAAGTTCGACAGGAACCAGTTGCAGATGAAGCAGGTTCAAGCAGACCTCGACGAACAAGACACATGTCTGCAAGGTTGCAAGAATGTGTAATCACATCAGATGATGTAGTCGATGAAGAGGGTGAGCTGGTACATTATGATTTCTACGCAGATGTCGAACCAGTCAATGCAGCTGAGGCATTGAAAGATTCAAAGTGGGTGAAAGCAATGATTAAAGAGTTAGAGTCCATCGAAGTCAATGATACCTGGTCACTTGTAGAATTGCCGCAAGGCAAGAAGGCAATTGATGTGAGGTGGGTTACAAGGTGAAGGTAAATCCTAAAGGAGAAGTAACTCGACACAAAGCGAGACTTGTGGCGAAATGATTTCTTCAGAAGGAAGGAATCGACTTCGATGAAGTATTCGCACCTGTTGCTAGAATCGAAACAATCAGGTTGGTTGTTGGTCTAACAAATATGAACAACTGGCACACATGTCAGATGGACGTGAAATGGGCCATGATGAATGTAGACAGTTTAGACACAATGAATTAGGTGGTGTGTTAAATATAATTCATTGTGTAAACATATTTAATTTGATATGATTAGATATCATATGATTATATTAGATTTGATATCATATGATTAGATTTGATATCATATGATTAATTTGATATGATATGATTAGATATCATATGATTAGATTTGATATCATATGATTAGATTTGATTTAGAATATTTTGGGCCTTTTATGTTTTGGGCTAGTGTAAACCTAAAACTATAAATAGGGTGCCTTGCTTTGTATTCTACATCACAACAGAACAGATTTCACAGTTGCAGTTAGCAAGTGAAAGTTCAATAAGAAATCTCACAGTTGTGGGTAACACATTCTCTCCAAATACTTCTTCTCTCATTCTTCTCTTTCTTGTTTGTTATTCTTCTTCTCTTTTGTTGTTCTTGATAATTACTTGTTATTACCATCATTATCATATTGTGGGTTTGTTCATCAATCTTGAGATCAAGATTGAAGGGAATTCTTCATAGGGTGTGAGGTGAATTTCCAACACATTTTGCTCGTGCCACTTATCAGAGATCAACGTCATCCTTTTTAAAATTCTACACATCTATCAATATCAATTAATTTTAATACAGAATAATTTTAAAAAACATTAAAAAAATTAAAAAATATTTAAATACAATTATTTATAAATATTTGTGCTTCTTGATAATATCTAGAGTAAATGTAGTTAACACTGCCAATGCGACATCATAGATAGAAGTACACATTTTTAATTTAAGACAGCAAAATAATAAATAATCTTAAAAAATATAAAAGAAAATTCTTTTTTTCGACATTTTTAGAAATTTTATACTACCAATACCCTCAACTTTGAAAAAAAGTTAAATAGAAAATGATGTGATCCAACCCACAATAAATTAATTTAAGTTGTAAAACATTTAAAACCGTTAAACGAGTTTCAAAAAGTTCAACTCTGGCCTATGAAACAAAAAAAATTGATTGAGAAATTTCTCAATGAAGATTTGTTATCTTTAAAAAAAACAATTTCTTTTTAATAAAACAATAATTATTTTATTCATAACGTAAACATAAAAAAATAATATAAAAAGAAAGTGTGACCCACGTCAATTGAAACGTACCAAGCGAAGAAACTTATGGGTCATGTTTTTGGTTATTTTCCTTTAACCGTCCAGCACATCAAAGTTGGTATGATTTCCTTTTACTTTTCCTTCCTTCCTTCTTCAAAAACAATCACCAATTCACACACTATCTCCACTTCATCACATGCTTCACATCTCACTCAATCACACACTCTCTCTATAAATATATAAACCACACATCCCAAAACACAATAATTATTAGAAAAATGTTAACTCTGAAAGGAGGAAGCAGACCACCATGGGTAGGTTTAGGAGCATCAGTTTGGGTTCAGATTGCATCAGGAAACACTTTTACTTTTCCTCTGTACTCACACTCTTTGAAATCTGTTTTGGGTTTCAATCAAAGACAAGTTACACTTCTTGGTGTTGCTAATGATATTGGAGAAAACGTTGGTTTGCTTCCCGGTATCGCTTGCAATAGATTCCCGCCTTGGCTTATTCTTTCTGTCGGTGCGCTTGCTTCTTTTGTTGGTTATGGTGTTCTTTGGCTTGCTGTTACCCAAACACTCCCTAATCTTCCTTACTTAGTGGTATAATCAACTCTTAGATCTGATTTTATGTTTTTATGTTTTTTTTTTTAATTTTTATAATCAAGTTTGGTAAAGTAAATCCAACTGGAAATGGAATGCATTGATTATTTGATCTGTTCACTATACAAATTTCTAGTTTGCATCTGTTTCTAAAAGTGCTTAAGTTAGCTTTATTAAACTAGAAAATTCTTGGTCTGAGACAGAAAATGATTCTACAGCATAGGAAGTGGAGAATCATAGCAATAATGTTTTAAATAATACTACTAATTTTATTTTTAAAATACTATTGAAATTTTTATAGATTGTGAGAATACTACTAATTTTAGTGTCATGAGTTTGTTTTTCTTAAGGATCAATTTTTTTATCGTCTTTTTTCTTCGCATCTAATTTTATTTTATATCCAAAAAAAGAAGTAGTTTCTTAGTTTAATTTTAACATTTTCGTTATGGAAGTACGCAGATCAATATTGCATTTGCCATCCGATATAGTTTGACTGAAAATGACTAACTGTCATTTGCTTTTGTATCATGTTGCAGCTTTGGTTTGCCCTTGTTATTGCTTCCAACAGTAGTGCGTGGTTAACCACCTCGGTTCTAGTAACCAACATGAGAAATTTCCCTGTTAGTCGAGGCAAAGTTGCGGGAATCCTGAAAGGTTATGGAGGGCTTAGTGCTGCGGTTTTCACGCAAATTTACAGCCTACTGCTTAATAACGATTCATCGAAGTTCCTCATGTTGCTGACAATTGGTATTCCAGTTGTTTGTTTCAGTATGATGTTTCTTGTTAGGCCTTGTACACCAGCTTTGGATGAAGACTCTACATCTAGTTCTCATTTTATCTTTATTCAATCTGCTAGTGTCATCTTGGGTGTATATCTTCTTGCAACCACAATATATGGCAATCTTCTTCCATTAAGTGGTACAGCTTCCTATATTTTGGTGGCTGTGATGGTTCTTTTTCTCATGGCTCCAATTGCCGTCCCGGTAAAGATGACATTGTATCCCAAAAGACTTTCAAATTCAGACTCATTTGAGCAACCACTTGGATCTTCAGACTCTCTTGGTCAAGGAAAAGATGACAAAATAGAGCCACTGCTAGGATCTTCGTCAACAGGAGCCCTTGGAAGCTCGAACGACGATGATTCATCTGAGGTAGCTATGCTTCTTGCGATAGGCGAGGGAGCAATAAAACAGAAGAAGAGAAAACCTAAGCGCGGAGAAGATTTTAAGTTTACTGAGGCTATAGTAAAGGCGGATTTCTGGCTAATGTTTTTTGTTTATTTTGTCGGTGTTGGCACTGGGGTTACTGTCCTCAATAATCTAGCCCAAATAGGTATTGCACAGGGTGAAGAGGATACTACAACTTTACTGTCAATTTTCAGCTTTTGCAATTTTGTTGGTCGGCTTGGTGGAGGAGTTGTTTCAGAGCATTTTGTCCGGTTAGTGACACCGATTTAAGATCTATTATTTATTTTTATAGACAAGTATTAGTGGTTAAGAATTGATTGTCATAAGTATACAATCAACTGTTTAGAATCTCTTGGAATCGATTGTAGAAAAACTGTCATGTTTAATTGATATAATCTATTTCTCTGTTTTTGACGATTTTCAGTACCAAGTTGCTCCCGAGGACATTCTGGTTGACATGCACACAGACAATCATGCTATTGGTATATCTTCTGTTTGCATTTGCGGTAAACGGAAGCCTTTATCCTGCAGTTGCATTTCTTGGTGTCTGCTACGGTGTGCAGGTTTCCATAATGATCCCTACCGTTTCCGAGCTTTTCGGTTTGAAGAACTTCGGCGTACTGGGCAATGTCATGTCTTTGGGTAATCCACTCGGGGCAACCATTTTCTCAGCTCTGCTAGCGGGTTCTATATACGACAAAGAGGCAGCAAAGCAACACAGTCTTAACCTTTTTGCTGCTGAAGTTTCCTGCATCGGTGCAGATTGCTTTAAGCTGACATTTTTCATTCTTTCTGGTGTTTGTGCTGCTGGCATCTTCTTGAGCATTATTCTGACTCTGAGAATTAGGCCTGTTTACCAAATGCTTTATGCTGGAGGCTCTTTCAGAATTCCTCAACCATCTCCTCCACCATCTTCGAGTACCTAAGAAGGTAGTATAGTTGAACAATGAATAAAGACAGAACAATCTTTAAAGTCAGTTATATATGAGCAACAATGGGATCGTTATATACATAGTTGAGCAACAATGAGAGCACATGTTTAGTTATGAAGTTTTGAAAGTATATGTTTTCAACTTTACTTGGTTTTGGGATTGTTTATAATATGATGCATTTGATTTGCTTATATGCTCCAACACCTTTAGACATGAAAATATGAACTAATGTTATATTTCTTGTATTTTTCCGTTGCTGCTGATAATCATACAAAATTTTTCCCTAGTTGCTGTCAACTGGGCTGCAGGTTTTGCTTCCCGATAAAAATAAAAATAAAAATACGTATAGGGCAAAATGTGCAAAGAAATCATAATTTAAAGATTAACTATGCAAATAATTATGTGAAATAAATGATCATTTAAAAAATTATCGATATAAACTACAAGTTAATTTTTTAAAAGACTACCGGTGTAATTTTATCTTTTCATTTTTTTTAGTTTAAAAGATCACGAGTAGTTTTATCTTTTCTCCATTTTATTGCAGCCAACATACCCTTCAATCATTGAAGGGGATACGTGGTATCGAAATAGATAGAATTTGCATTATTAACTTTAGTTCTTGATATGATAGATATAGAAAGAGTAAAGGAAATGTAAAGACATTGAAATAGATAGAATCTGCTTGACTTCTTGAATGGATAGATATCGAATTTTTTCAATTCATGACACTTAAATTGAATATTTAAGATTTTGATTTTTTTTTAATTGTTTTATGTTAAAAAAAACTTAAATTTAAAATGAACTATAAGTTTTGAAATTTTAAAATAAAATTTAATATTATAAATATATAATATATTTATTTAATAATAATTTTAACAATAATCTTGTGTAAATCTAAGACGCTAAAAAATGAGATGACGAGTTTAGATTTTATGAACTCCAGTATATAGAAGGTATTTTTATATTTTGGTTTTGATAACGAAAGGGATGGTAGCGACAAACACTGAAATTTAAGTTAGTGATTTTCACTGGTGCGAAGTATTTTTAAGTTATAAGGTTTGTACATGTCTTTATTGACTTTTTATAACAGCTAGCACTCTTAGGTTTCAAGGACCTTTTTGCGTTGGGCAGCGGTTTACAAAGAGGTACAAAAAGCTATGAGATTCAAAGGTCCTGCTGCTCTAATTATTTTCTCTGATCAAAGTGTTCATCTAGAGTATATCCATCTCAGGTCTTGCATACATATAACGATTTTTTCACCACAGTGCCCTTGTTTCAAATAAATATTCCCACAATGCTCCATCTGAAAATTAATTTACCAGGATACCCTACTTTTGAAGGGGTTCGTCCAATCAATGGACGAACTAGTGAAGAGTTCGTGAAGACTATGAAGAAGTTCGTCCTTCCATTGAGCGAACGTGTTGAAAAAATTACCCATGCATGAGTTCACATAATGGACAAACTAGTGAAGAAGATGTTTTTTTTTTTTTTTTCATTTTTTAATTTTTTGTTAATTCTACATAAAATGTATTTAAATAATTTAATATAAAAACTATTTAAATGATTTAATATAAAAACTATTTAAATAATTTAATATACAAACTATTTAAATAATTTAATTTAAAAACTATTTAAATAATTTTATATAAAAATTATTTTATTAATTTAATTTAAAAACAATTTAAATAATTTTATATAAAAATTATTTTATTAATTGATTAAATAATTTACAACAATAAAATTACAAGATTAAATTACAACAATATAAATGATTAAATAAATACACATCTCATCGGAGATGACCTCCAGTTCCACACCTAGGGGGCCTTCATTGTCGGTATCCTCTGCCCAAATGCTCGTTTGCAGCTGATTGAGATGAGTCGGAAGACAAATCTTCATTATGATGTGTTCTCGGGGGGACTGTCTGCCTTGAAGAGGGTCCTGGTTCATCATCATTTAGAATATCTTCGATGTTAAAATCCGGCATTTGCGTCAGTTGCTCCTCTGTCAGTAAAAAATGTTGGAATGAATGTGATGGTTGTGGTGGTTGTGGGTAGGTTTCGGCTTGGGTTTGTTGAATGGTTAGGATGTATACGTCATCAGGCGTGAAGGCGGGTTGAGAGAAGGTAGTGTTGAAGGTAGGATTTGTAGGATATTGGAAATAAGGGTTGGTTTGGTCATAGTTGAGGGCTGTGCATGGGGTGAACTGTCTGGGTGGTCGGAGGTAGGGTTGGGGTTGATATTGTGGGGTGTACTGGGGGTAGTTGTAGTTATAGTTATGTTGAGCTGACGAGGATGGGTACCCCCAAAATTGAGAGGTGTTGGTTGGTGGGGCATCCGGATGCATTGATGCGGCAGTTGGTTGTGTCGATGATGATGCTTGCGTCCGTGGGTCGGTCAAAAATTGATTCGGAGCAACATGCACATTAGGAATTACACGGAACCAAGTTAAATACTCTTGACTTGGTTTGCGTTCACCAAATACAGTGCCCCCTTGCAAAATCACATTTCTTCTGTGTCTCCATTCTCACACCTCGTCCTATTTTAACTGTTGCCAATGAACTTTTTGCGCTTTTCGCATGGTAATTGCGTGGTGTTCCTTCAAGCACCTAGGAAGTGGAGGGATCTGTTGGTCAAATCCAAACTGGAGTGTTACCCTATCTGATTGATGCATCTCAACGATGTAGAAACAAACAAGGTAAGTTGTTGCACTCCAGATTTGGCTATCTTCTAGACGCGGCACCGGATACTGAATGTACGGCCTCCATATAAACTGTCACATAACAAATAAAATTAAGATAACATTAAATTGAAGAACCGACCACTATTTTCAATTGGTTTAAAACTTACATCTTTTTCTTGCATATGGTCCAACGTGTTTCGATATCCTTGGAGATGGAAACGAGGAGTTGCACGGTAATTCATTCCCCTTTGTGTCCACCTTGTGTAACCAAAAAAAAATTAATATTGTTAGACATAGTTGAATAACAAATATATATATTACGTACATAAATATGAGTGTTACAAAAATACCTTTGTGCATATGGAAACGATGGTTCCACAGTGTTGATAGGAGCGAACAATGGGATGCGTGTGAATGCCCAAGAAGTTAGTAGGAGAGCACAACCACTCATGCTCCTAACATCTTTTTCTGCTGCCTTGCACATTTCTCTGTACAATTTCGCAAGGCATGCAGAACCCCAACTATATGTTCCACATTTAATGAGATCCCCCACGAAAAGGGACCCAAGAAGAATGCAAAAGGTTTTGAGTTTTGTCAGGAAACAAAACCGTTGCGATCACGAGCAAAATAAAAAGTTTAGCTTCTAATAAAACATCTTCTTGTGTGGGGTTATCTATGTTTTTTAAATTTTCATATTCGCTCTCAATCCAAGTTATCTTAACAAAACCTTTCATTTTATCTGTTTCTGTTGGTTCCTTCCCCAAGTAATCCATGTAAACGGAATTTGTTACCTCGGTGGGACCGTTGATAGCTTTGTCATCAACTCGTAGACCTAGTAACATACATGTATCTTCAAGGGTTATGGTGCATTCACCGGTTGGCAAGTGAAAAGTGTGCGTTTCCGGTCTCCACTTCTCCAACAGAGCCACAACTAAGCTTGAGTCAACTTTCAAGCTGTTTATTTTTGAAATGTTTGCGAATCCTGCGATTTCAAGATAAGGCATTATTCTCTCATTCGCTTGAACAGGAGAATGTGAATGCACCCTAAACCTCGGAGCATTAATCTGTAACAATATTAAACCAACATTAATTACTCACGATTTTTACGACGAAAAAATAATTTCACAAACAACAATATACAACAATATAAAACTTACACTATTATTGATATTTTGTTGAGTACCACGGTGGTCTTCGCCCATCCACAACAATGCCATTTTAGTCGGGTAAAAATTATAAGATAGTAGAGAAATATATGTGATAATTGCTAGATAGTAGAGAGAATGTAAAACTGTGTGTAAATTTTGAAAGAATGTAAAAACGAATTTATAGTAGATTGTATGAAAATTTAATATTTAGTTTAAGTATTTTGGAAATTAAAATGTGACAAGACCATTGCATGGCACTAGGTTTTTTTTACCATGCATGCAACACTAGCTTCTTACACAATACGCATGCATGTGAAACATTTTTTTGCAGACTTCACGTGTTCGCCCATGGAAAGGACGAACCTAGCATTCCCTTCACGTGTTCGGACATGGAAAGGACGAACTTGTGCATTTCCCGTGAGAAAGTTCGCCCATGGATTGGACGAACTAATGGTGCACTTCACATGTTCGCATTTGTGTTGGACGAACTCAAGCTTACCTAATTATTCCAATGTTCCTCACTTATATTCGTTTTGTTGAATGTATGTTTGCATGGTATTACAAACATCTCTTGTATACCAATATTCATCACTTACATTCAAACTCATTAACACTCCATCTTGCAGTACAAAAAAATTCAAACTTCTCAACATTCTCAAAAAAATTCAATCCTACAATCCGAAATGTCTCAGAGAAACATAATTACCACATGCCACTTTAACGGTGTTGTTTCAACAAACACTCCTGTTGGATTCTCGTTCAACAATACAGATACATATGCCTTCAAAATTCATGTCAATTCAGATTTTTTTCATTTTAAAGATAGAATGGAAACAAAATTGGCACGTTGCGTTGAGGAAATCATTTATCGCCATCCCACCCTTAATGAAGACGACTGTACGATATTCTACATTATGACGCCAATAAAAAATGACGAGGATGTGAAGGCAATGTTTCGGTGCCACATGATGTTTGGTCAATTACCTACAATTGAGGTGTATGTCCGACTAGTATAAAATCCCGAAACATTTCCAACGCAGGAGACACAGTCACACTGGTACGGGATGAGCCAAACATCCGACGACGAAACAACGCAAAATAATTTACCTTTCATACCAAATGAGGAGGTGGGCGAACCAAGTGATGACGATATTCTTGAGGAAATCAGGATGCAAGATATTTTTGGTAACAGCGATGACGAAGACAATGAAGATGAAGATATAGTTGTCCCGTCTACGCAACCGATCCGCGCACAACCCGTAAGTTTGTATAACCCGCCGGCACACATGCAAAATATTTGCGTCGAATATGACGACACAACCTCTGTCTTTGGAAATGCTATTCAAAGCCATATAGGTGACGAAATAGAGATAGGTATCGAGTTTGAAAACAAGGAAGCCTGTGTCCTCGCCCTGCAGCATTGGCATATAACACACTGTGTGGACTATTGGGTGTGTCAGTCTGACAATGAACGATATGTCATTAAGTGTAAGAAACAAGAATGCAAGTTCAAGTGCAGAGCTTCATTTAGACAAAGGAACTCGAAATGGGTGATTGGTAAGCTGTCTGGGTCTCACACATGCACCACAACGTCTATGGCACAAGACCATAGCAATCTCAGTTCAGAAATGGTTAGCCATAGCATCAGAGAACTTGTAAACAGCGACGCCTCACTTAAGGTAAAAGTGATCATTGCCCATATTCTAGAAAAATACGGGTACATTATATCTTACCGGAAGGCGTGGATCGCTAAGTGCAAGGCGGTAGAGTCGCTTTACGGCAATTGAGAAACATCTTACAACGACCTACCGTAGTGGATACTAGTAATGAAAACCTTTCTTCCTGGAACCGTTATGGATTTGCAAACCATACCTGCCATATCAAGTGATGGTTCCCAGATCTCCGGAAAAAGAACATTCCTTCGTCTGTTTTGGGCATTTCGTCCGTGTATACATGGTTTCGCCTACTGTAAGCCCATTGTGCATGTAGACGAAACTTGGTTGTATGGCAAGTACAGAGGAACTCTATTGACGGCGGTGGCACAAGATGGCAACGAAAATATTTTCCCATGACATTCGCTTTGGTCGAAGGAGAAACAAAGGAAGCCTGGAGTTTTTTTCTGAGGAACCTAAGATTACACGTGACACCACAACCGAATTTATGTCTAATATCTGATAGGCATGAATCGATAAAAAGTGCATACAATAATCCAGAAAACGGTTGGCAAAATCCTCCATCTTCGCATGTCTACTGCATAAGACACATCGCTCAGAACTTCATGCGCGAGATTAAGGACAAGGTTCTACGAAAATTAGTTGTTAACATGGGTAAGGAAAAAATTTCGCTTATCTAAAGTATATTAGCACTTTTTTTTCATTTTTTCTAACACAATTTCTGATACAGGTTACGCATTGACGGAGGCCTCATTTAATTATTATCGCGGAGAAATCAGAAGATCCAACGCTGAGGCTTTAAATTGGATAGACAATATTCCTAGGGAGAAGTGGGCTAGAGCATTTGACGGAGGACAACGTTGGGGACATATGACATCTAACTTAACAGAAGCAATAAACTCTGTATTAAAGGCCACAAGAAACCTTCCCATCACTGCATTAGTCCAGTCTACATATTATCGAATGGGTTCACTATTTGGTAAACGAGGACACAAATGGACAAAAATGCTATCTTCAGGCAAAGTTTTCACAGATGGTTGTAACAAGGGAATGGCCGAGGAGGTAGCCAAGGCTAACACACACAATGTCGTGCAATTTGATCGGGAAAGATTCTGTTTCATGGTGCAGGAAAAGATTAATTACAACGATGGTCGTCCAAAGGGTACTTTCAGCGTTGACTTGAGGAATCGTAGGTGTGATTGTGGAAAATTTCAAACGTTCCACTTGCCTTGCTCCCACGTGATAGCGGCATGTTCTAGCATACGACAAGACTATGCAATTCACATTCCATAGGTCTTCACAGTACTTAACGTATTCAAGGTCTACAAGGAAAGCTTCCTGGGACTACCGCACGAGGAGAACTGGCCAAAATATGAAGGTTTCACTCTCTGCCACGATGATTCAATGAGAAGAAATAAAAAGGGGCGTCCAAAAAGTAGTAGAATCAGAACTGAGATGGACGACGTAGAAAAAGAGAAGAGACGGTGTGGGATTTGCAGAGAAATAGGTCATATGCGTAGAAAATGTCCCAATGTTGCCGGTCCGTCAAACCGACCGAATAGATAATTATATTGTACTACTTTTGTATTTGATCAATCAATTATTTTTAATTCAAAACAACTTTCAAATTACAACAACAGCAGCGAACTACAAACATAAAGTGGATCCGTGACTCCACAAACGCAAAAATAAAACTCATGAAGCTAACATAAACTCTAACAAACAACAGCGACCAACACAAGTGGATCTGTGACTCCTCTGTTGACTTCACCATTATGTGCTGAAAACATGCAATGGACATCTTCATCATTTTCTATACGATCTAGGTAGTACATGTACGTCCCCTCCGGGCTAGCATCAGTAAGCGTTATATATGGACAACGATACTCAATTTTTCTCACCGTCACGCGACGACCGCCCAGCTGCCGAAACCCGGTGTTAATTGCTGCGACCACGATTCTGAAATTCCACAGCGGATCTAGGTAAACACTTAATTTTTTCTCAGGTCCATAGAAAACATGAGCTTGCACAGACATCTTTGTAAATCGGATAAGTTGATACAAATGATAGTAAATCGGCATACGCTTATTTATACAAAAAAATTACGTCTGAGTTCGGTCATTCCGTGACCGAACTATGTAAATTATTTAATCAATTAATAAAATTATTTTTATTGTTGTTTGTAATTTTATTGTTGTAAATTATTTAATCAATTAATAAAATAATTTTTATATAAAATTATTTAAATTGTTTTTAAATTAAATTAAAAAATAATTTTTATATAAAATTATTTAAATAGTTTTTAAATTAAATTATTTAAATAGTTTTTATATTAAATTATTTAAATAGTTTTTATATTAAATCATTTAAATAGTTTTTATATTAAATTATTTAAATACATTTTATGTAGAATTAACAAAAAATGAAAAAATGAAAGAAAAAATAACCATCTTCTTCACTAGTTCGCCCATTCAATGGGTGAACTCATGCATGGGGTAATTTTTTCAACACGTTCGCCCAATGGAAGGACGAACTTCTTCATAGTCTTCACGAACTCTTCACTAGTTCGTCCATTGATTGGACGAACCCCTTCAAAAATAGGGTATCCTGGTAAATTAATTTTCAGATGGGACATTGTGGGAATATTCATTTGAAACAAGGTT